TTCTTAAATGTTACATGTTCGTAGAGCCTGTTGACCCCTGGTGGGAGGGAGAGTGTGTGTGTGCAGTTTCAAGGCATACAGACACCGCCTATGCTGATCCCAGTGTGTGTTTACCGTATGGGAATGCTTAGAGTAGTGCAGTATGTGTACAGTATGTGTGTGTGCGTGTGTGCCTGAGCGAACACCAGTGAGACAGAAAGGAGGGGAGAGACAGAAAGAGGGAGGGAGCGAAGGCATATCCAAGGGGATCAAACCTAAACCACAGGATATTTCTGACCTTGAGGGCGAGCGGGTAAAGCAGGGAGGGGGGGAGGAAAGAGTAGAGGAAAAGAAATAGAGAGGAAAGCTGAAGGGAAGGAACAAAGAGATGGAGAGAGAGAAGCAGAGTCTTTGGAAGGCAGCTGGAAAGCCTCCAGAATCCTCTGCTCAAACCAACCATAAAATTCCAACCGTAGCCACGAAACCAGTATGAGGACTGACGAGGGTGCCTCCTGCCCACAATGGGGTGTGTGTGTCTGCATTTGTGTGTGTCTGTGGTGTGCACACATTTACGTGTGTGTGTGTGTGTGTGTGTGTGTGTGTGTGTGCCATATGTGATTAAAGGGTCCGAGCAGAGGAGGCCAGGAGGCAGACGAGTGATGCAATCCACGGAAGCGAAGGAGAGGACACGAGGGCGGCAGGAAGGAAGGGAGGGAAGAGAGGAAGGAGGAATTGTTGCTTCTGGGGATCCAGCTCTCCAGGAATGTGCTGACGGTCATATCCCACACAGTCAGGGAGAGTGTTGCATTCTGGGAAGCTCTGCGGAGGTGACACCACCTGTTTTGGTGTGCTACAGATAGCAAACACATGATAAATTCACACATTATAAAGGGATAGACTTTGTGAGTCATTATTGTTAATAATTTTCAAAGGCACAACAGTCCTTTTCCCTGTGCAAACCAGCCTCTCTCACTGCAGGCTGGAGGCCTCAATCCACCCTCACACAGCAGCAGTGGAGATCTATTTCGGTGCAAGCTACACAATGTCCACAAGTACCCACACAGGCTCGGTGGGTAAGGTGATTGGTAAGCCTGGACAAAAAGTCTATTTATGAGCATGGCAAGAGTGGGCGGTTGTCCTTGAGCTGGTTTGTCTGCCGTCTGAAGTGCTAAGTGCTGTATACAGTTACAATAGATAGAACATGCACAAGGACGAGTGAAGGTGGAGAAGGGGTGAGGGAGGGAGGGTGAGTGCGAGAGAGCACTGGGAATAGAGATGGTGAGTCAGAGGCCATTTGGAAAGTAATTTCATCTCTGAATGCCGTATATCTTTTCATCAATGAAAGGAAAGCATTTTCCGAACCAGGCTGGCACAAGAAGAAAAACATCTCTGTTTGGTGTAATGGAGCCTATTTGAGGGGGAGAGGACAGATACCATACACAGGTTATTTCTGCTCTAGATTTACTTCATGTAAGTGAAGGTGTTTATTATAATACAGTGCAGTGAAAGAAGTTTAGAGCAAGTCTAAGAGTCTACAGCCATGCTATCAGCTCTGTGAGGCTGTACCTACTGTAGACTGTGTGCCTTGAGCTAAATGTGAATGTTAGCATGCTAATGGACTAACACTGACAATGAAAACCTGCGGGTGTTTGGCAGGTATAATGTTTACCATGGTTAACATCTTGGTATCATTTTAGCATGCAAGTATTTGAAGACTTGTGTAACCCAATGATGGCACTAGAAGAAGAGTCATGTTATCACCAGAATAATTTGGATTCATCCTATGGGCAACATGGATATCTGTACCAAATCTTATGGCAATGCATCCAATAGATGTTGAAATATGTCAGTCTGGGCCAAAGCTGTGAACCGATTGACCGTCAGGCAGACATGCTGCTGGCGTGGCTAAATAAGTTTGATATTTTTTGCATGCATATGATCATATTTGGTCACGCGTGAGGCTGCATCCTTCTGCAAATACTGTAATTTCTCATCAGTCTTAGCCAAGAAGAAGCACATTTCCTCATTATGGCACAAAGAGTCTTCTGCAATTTCTGTGAATCAGTGGTTTCTTATGTCCTGATGCTGCATTGAGGTTTTAGGGGGTTCCAGCAATATTCTGGACCGGCTGAATGTGGTGTGGCGTCCAGCCAGTGAAAAATGGAAAAGAGAAGGGCAAAGGGGAACAAAGTTAGGCTGAAGTGTTAGGAGAGACAACCACAAACAGGTCTGGACTGCTGTGTGTATCCTGGCAAAGCAACCTTGGCCTTGACAGGACTGTACAAACATGTACAATATTTGACTCCTGCCAAATTTCTTCCTTACATAAATATGGGTGGAGATTCATGTCCACCAAAACAACTAAAACCAAATCTCCCAATCTCTCCAAATCTGAATACAATCAGTAAAGTGTATCTCAATGTCAAAGCAGAAATATGCCATTGATAAAAAAAAAGTATTGATGTCTGTTGAAATACAAGTCTAAGAGCATGAAAAGATTAATTCATGAAACATGTTTTCTATTAACCGAGTTCACTGACTGGAGGGGAGGAGAAAGACACCACAGAATACTGAGTTGGACTGGTTTTTGATTGGTCTGGCATCCGTTGTGTGGTTATATGGGCAAGCACAAAGAGAATGCTGCGGTTATTCTTGGACCACCACTGTCCGCACTTCCATGTAATGTTCTGATGTTTACCATCGCTGGTTCAGTTCATCTGCTGGGATTATGAGTCAACCCTGTTAAGGAGATGCAGAGAGGTCCTGCAAGGACACTGACTGTCTGACTTACCCTCTCTGCATCCAAATTAAAGTGTTTGTACGACTCCAGCACACAAACCGAGCCCGGACACAACCGTTGCCACCAAACTCCTGAATTCTACTGTGTTTTTGTACAGCCTGTGTTCTCTGCAGCTTCAAATTAACATCGGCCTTGGCTTTGAGTTTTACTTTTTCTCTCACACAGTGCACATTTTGTCGTGTTGTTTGTACGCTGTGGAACGTCAGCACAGATATTTTCGGTCGTGTGGAGGAGTCTACCCATAGCAGAGCAAACACGACCCAGCGGCTGCAGAATGTTTTGTTTGCTAAGCCCGTCACCTTTCAGCGAGCATTTGCACCTCAGCTTCTTCACTGACAACCTGATGATGTATCTGTGGGAATTTAATTTGTTTCTGGACGGCCTGGTAATGCAGCTGGCTATCGAGCATGCCTGGCAACATCTGAACCCTCGACTGTAGTGACGTGACATCCATTTTCTTACTCCCCAGCTCAACTGTGCCACCTTTGAATAACACAAAATGCCCTGGAGTCATCTGAAAAGTCAACCAGTATGACTGCTGAAAGTAGATTAAAATGGCATGTTTCTGAAATGAGTGTTTGACCTTTTGTTATTTCAGTGATGCCAAATATGTTCACCCCCTTGATTACACAACAAGCGATGACATGTAGATACCTCAAGTCAGTTTCTCTGTTGCCATATCTTCATTCTGACAAAGCATCCTATGACAACATCAAAACCCACAACTTGGGTTTAATATCAACCCACTAGAACAGCAAACGGCTGAACTTTTAATTGGCTAAATGTCGCATTACAGCATTCTGAAAAACAAAAGGAAGATATTTTATCATTTATAAAGCCATTTTTATGAACAGCACAGGTTTATATATATGCAGTCTTTCTTTCAAGTTAAATGAAAAATACCAGTAGTCTCCTTCCTCACAGTCATGTCAAAAGTTGTACTAATGTCAAAATACTGAGAATTCATTTGTAAGACTGGTCTCATTACTTTGCACAGTAATTAAATATTCCATTAAACACTAGGCTTATTTTCATGGTAATACTTTACAGCATATTAATATCTATGCAAATACTTAGATCATTACATCTTTATATATTATACTATACTTCAAGTGCAATCTCTAAAATATAGCACTGTGTGTGTATGGCAGAGAAGTAATGTAATGAAAGCCAGACGAACACTGTGTTCCAGGTCAGAGCTGAAGTCTGCACAGCTTTGGTCCAGAGAGCAGCATGAGTCACCGGAACTGAGCAGATTGCTAGCTTGCAGAATTCATTAAGACAAATGTAAGGTATATGGATTTCCTCTGGAAGGGAAAAAAAACCCTTGGCAGCTGCAGAATAGCACCCCAGTGAATCCTCAAGTAGCTTTCCATACACCTTCGGAATGACAGCATGCTTTTTGCAACTCCATAGATGATTTGTGGCTCGACTGAATGTAAATGAATTAGCCCTAAATCATTCAGCGTGTTGGCCTATTTTGTATTATTTTCTTAAAGATTCTTATACAACTACAACAGACGGTTACTATGACATATGATGAGTCACTAAACAACTAGTTTTAAGCAGCTAGTTTAATGCCTAGGGAGCAGGTCTGCCTAGTGAAACTATCTGCTAGATGAGAGTAATCTGTGTGGGAACTGATCATGCTGAAGAAAATGCAAATTGAGCTGTTAAAGATGCAGTTTGAACTGCTTTTTAATCCAACACCTGTAGTTTATGTCATGTTGTGTCTCTCAGTGCAATGGCGCCCCGGCGCGGGTAAGAGGCAGTAATGCACAAACAGTGTCCAGTTATTAGTGTTAGAGTTACGGTAACCTCATAACTTTACTAAATCACTATTTAAACTTCAGCAATAATGTTAGGATAGCTATAGGCCTTAACTTACTATTTTCATAAGGCTTATACTTGACTTGCCAATTAGAAAGGGAATGAAGCTGAGTTTAACTTTTGATAAAATACAAATTACGGCAATTGCTCATAATGCTATAATAATATATAAGATAAGTAAGGCAAAGCCATAAAATATTGTTAGCTAGCTAAATTAGCTCGACAGTAACGCCTGGAGCAAGCTTCAAAAGTGATTTTTCAGGCGATAACGTCCTGCGCTTATAAACCCGCTAAAATGACCCAGGAGCAGCGGTTGAACTCGGCACTTCTACAGTTTAAACAAGACCATAAAGCCAGAGCTGATCCCAAATCAGCCACCGCCGCACCGGATGTCGGTAAGTAAAAAGACAAGTGCCGATTTCTACAGGAAATACCTTCCGCTGTACAGAGCATTTATGAAGGGCTGCCATTTTACCGACCTTACGGTAAGAAAAGTTGCTTCGTGTTGTCGTGTTGTTAGCTGGCCGCCGTACGTTCACTCACACACTGTGCCCGGTGTGTGAGTGAACTTATATCGTCGGGTTCAACCCGTTACCTTCGTACTTACAGTTCATGTTAGCGAGCCTAGCTTGTTTACCACCGTGTCTGTGCTGCTACTGTTAGCAGCACTGAACATTATCAAGACAAAAGCAAACACATAACTTATATAGCGACAGGCAGTCTGCTGTCAGGGCAGTTAGGCTTTATAACCTGGGGTTTGAGGGGTTTATTTAGATGCTCTTTATGCCAGGAAGGTTTTAACGAACCCGCTGAGCATTTAGCTTAATAGTAGCTGCCGTTTCCCGTTAGACAAGGCAGACCTTATCTTAGCTTATATGTAGCGACCAGTAGTGATCACCATCAGTGCAGCCACTGTGCAAGTGCATGTTCACAGATTCAATGAAACTGATCTAGTGTAAGCATTACATCTCATCTTTCCCCCCATTGTTGTTTCTGACAGCAGCCCAGATGAATTATGGGAGTCAAAGTAATCCAGCTCACCTCTAAATCCCACCATGGAAACATCCTGGCCTCTCTGCATCAGCTTCAGCAGCAGGGGCGGCTCAGTGATGTTACCGTGCAGGTAGACTACCAGGGAGACGTGCAGGAGTTCCTGGCCCACCAGGTGATGCTCGCGGCCTCCAGTGGCTACTTCAAGAAGATCCTTCTCTCTCAGGATGCTGCCCGAGACAAGTTATTACTCTCAAATATACCCTCCAAAGATTTCTCCAAGTTTCTGGAATTTGTGTACACCGGTAGGGTGGAGGTGGCCAGAGACAAGATCGGTGATGTTCAAGCAGCGGCACAGTTTTTGGACTGTGAGGATCTGTCAGAGGTTTGCGGCGAGGCCATGAGTGCTGGAATCCTACAAAAACCTCCAAATAAAACGCCTGCGCCAGAAGTCGTTCACGAAGATGGCATACATGGTGCCAAGAGAGAAAACAAGACCAAAGGAAAGAAGCGGCCTAAGAGCTTACTCCTTAAGCGTAAGCTGAAGAACACAGGGACAAATGAACAAAGGAAAGGAAAAAAGCTAAAACTGAGCTTGGCTGGCCGTAAAGTCCTTCAAAGGCGTTTGAATACGGAAAGAGAGGATTTGAACGATGGAAACCAGGTCGCCAATGAAGACACGGAGGAGTTAAAGGACAAGACTGAAGCCAAGGCTCAGCCAGAGAATCAGCCAGAGAATCAGCCAGAGAAAGGAGACGAGTCATCGCTGATAATGCCGGTCTCTGATGTGGAGGACGGGCATAGTCATGATCCTGAAGACACCTTGACGTTATCTCTGGAGGAGGAGGAGGAGGAGGAGGAGGAGGAAGAGGAAGAAGAGGGGGAAGAGGGACAGTCGAAGGAGAAATTAAAAAGAACATCCAAAGCCCAGTTCCAGTGTAACAAGTGCCAGCGGACCTTCCACTATGAGAGAAGCTACTTGAAGCACATCAGGTGGGACATAATAATAATTCATTGATTGATCCCTGCAGTGAGGCTAGCACCCAGCTGCTACCACCTCATTAGCAAACATTTCCTTTGTTGGCCTTATAGTATGTTGTTGACTCCACTTGGTAATTATGATGGGGGGGGGGGGGGTTATTGTGAGTTACTGATAGGCATTTGGTCCGGGCGTAGAAGCTCCCCAGTCCCTGTTCCATTGGCTTTATGGCTGTGTGAGCTCCGTCCACACCCAGCTGTGGCCTGTGCAACCGAGTTTTTCTTGTTTGTGCGTGGACTGTGTCATGTGTAGGGCAAGTTTGTCAAAAGATTCATTAAAATGGTAATATGGGCCGTCAGTGCATATGCAACATTGCAGAGCTGCAATCTTTTGATTGAAACGTTGAACATGAGTCGACAGAGCAGTATTATAATGAAGGTACTGCAGTGCTGGCCCTAACAACGTCTTTTTCTGTTTGGTAGAGACCCGTCCAGAGTCACCATCGTCATGACTTTAATAGTTTTTTCCAGTAAAGAAATTGTGATACAAAAATAATAATGTCACGCAATCATGACTGCATACCATCCATTCAAGCTTTTTTTTTTTTTCTTTCTGCCTTATTGTGCAGCCTTTGTCATGTTCCTGATGTTATATAAAACGAGGTTGGAATAATGGAAAAGCAGTTGGATGTGCTGTAACAACTCCTCCCAGTGATAATGACCACACTTTGGTGCTTAACAGTTTCACAGTAGGTGGTCATAATACAACCAGCCTCTTCATGAACTAGTTATACTGTAATCTCAAAAATTGTGAGTGTGACTGAGTTTGTTTGTTTACTCTTCCTAGTGACAGCAGCACTGTGCTTCCACAGCCCTACGGTGTTAACTGGGGTAAATCTTCCGAGGCAAAATCACCCTTAAAGCTGGAGCTGTGTCAGATGATCCTCAATGCGTCTTATCATGGTACCTAAGATGAGAACGTTTGATATTGCTCTAACCTGTTACCGCTGTCTTCCCCAGTACGTACCATGGAGTGAAAGCAGATGTCATCTATCGCTGTGAGACCTGCCTGCAAACCTTTGCTAACCGCAGCAACCTGAAGATCCATGAAAAGCACGTCCACAGCACTGAGAGGCTTTTTTCCTGTGACTCCTGCACAAAGACCTTCAAACGGAAGAAGGATGTTGTCCGCCATCAAAGACAGGTAAGGATTAATGAAATTCCGCACACTTGTATCTAAACGTTGTTCCATAATAAATGATCTGCATGTTTTTTTTTGGCTGATTTGTGTCTTACGTGTCTGCTGCTTCTCAGGTCCACGAGCGTAACAATCTGCGACACGTCTGCCCTGATTGCGGAAAGGCACTCAGCTCCAAAACTGCCCTGTTGTTGCATGAGAGGACACACACAGGTGCCAAGCCTTTTGAGTGCACCGACTGTGGGGCCAGATTTACCCAGAACTCTGCCCTCAAGATGCACCGCAGGTACAGCGCTCACTGATGATAACTGGTGGAATGAGCCTTAAGGGTGGCGCAGAGGCTAAAGACAGACAGGACTGTAACTGAAAGGTGTCAGGTATTAATATTGAGTCACCCAGGAAGAATGCACGTTTAGTAAGCCTCTCTTTGACAAATACATTGACTTTAGATTCACATAACATACTAATAACGTATGTACCATTTAAAAATAAAGTCCCAAATAGAGTCCCCAATAAAGGCAATGTGAGTTCAGTGATTTAAGCAAA